AATAAACTGAACAACTTTTGCCTTGGGGTAGTATCCAAACTCGTTACCAAATTTGAGATAAAAAAAAAAACAAAATCCTTTATTTTTCTTACTAAAAGAATAAAAGTGAAGAACTTTTCCCAGAGGGATTTCTGTTTTTCATTTTTTTTATATCCGAAACGAAGTCAAAAAATAAAACTAAAAATATAAGGTTGTAGAGCGCTAAAAAACCTACAACCCCATATGTTTAGATGTTTTTTTGGCCTATTATCCTACCAATGAAAAATGTCGGGGTTTTCCGACCGCACTCGGCTGGTCGGCCCCTGCGGTCGAGGTCATGACCGCATGCGGACTCGGCCGGTCGGCCCCTGCGGTCGAGGTCATGACCGCATGAGGTAAAATGATACGCGGTCATGACCGCGGGTGATACATAGGTTGGTTGATTGATGCATTCATTGATTGATTGATTGATTGGCAGAAGATTTAAAGACAACGGAGGTCTCCATACTATTCCACGTGGCAGGCCGTATCCCAGGAGAAGGGAGGTGAGTTTTGCTGAGCTGTGTTGTCATCACAGCCGGCCGGACCGTAATTGGGAGGAGGGAGTTGTGCCGTCCCTCTGCACCATGAGTGCAACTGACGGAGCCAGGGGGATGATTGAACGAGGGGAGGGAGGAGGAGGAGGAGATAGGTGCGGCGGAGATCTACAGAGTGCCACGTGGCAAGCCAGGGGAGGAAGGAGAAGATAAGTGAGGGGATTGAACGAGGGGCGAGACGAGGAGAAGACAGACAAGTTCAGACATCTTCAGCGCGCCACCACGATTGAAAGTGCCACGTGGCAAGCCTTGATTGGCATTTGAGGGGGGGAAGAACAAGAGACAAAACAATGAAGAAATTACTACTGCTAATTAAGGAGAAAGCGGGTGGGGGAGGGGTGCTCCTCATGCCTTGTCGCGGCCGTGTTCGCATCGGGATCGGGATCTCGGGGTGAGAAGCACACCTACGAATCTAATGGAAAAGACAAAAGAGCAACAGGAGGCTGCCAGCGGCGACCAGAACACGTAGCTGGCCACTTTTTTTTTTTGTTTTTTTTTTGGAAGCTGGCCACTTTCCCCAAAGCTCTACAGTCAGAACCATAGCGGGAATGCCCAGACGCGTAAGCATATAATGCCACGACGATCAGTTCATAATAAGCAAGGAAGTAGGGATAAGTAGGGCATAAGTGTGAATAAGTAGGGATAAGTAGGGGCGTTTTGATAGGGATAAGTACGGGTAAGTACGGACAAGTTCGGACAAGCACGGACAAGCAAGAATAAGTACGGACAAGTACGGACAAGTACGGACAAGCAAGAATAAGTACGGATGACATGCGAATGAAGTACGGAGAAGTACGGGTAAGTAGTGGTAAGTAGGCCAAGTACAGAAGAAGACCGCAGCCAATTTGCTGCAAAGGTTCTGGTGGCCCACGATGTTAAACGATGCTAAGTTGTACGTGGAAACTTGTCAAGTTTGTCAACGAGACAAGCCCCGTACTCAGGCTCCTCTTGGGCTGCTCAAGCCCCTTCCGATTCCGGAAAGGCCGGGTGAAAGTTTGTCCATGGACTTCATGGATACGCTGGTCACCAGCAAGAGTGGGATGAGGCAGATCTTCGTCATTATGGATAGGTTTAGTAAGTATGCTAGGTTAATAGCCATGCCGGAAACAGCGAAGACTGAGTATGTAATCAGGCTGTTCAAGGAGAACTGGGTGAGGGATTTTGGATTGCCTAAGTCTATTGTAAGTGACAGGGATGTCAGATTTACAAGTGAGTTATGGAAGGCCGCTGCAGCTGAACAGGGAACTCAACTGCAAATGGCTTCTGGAAACCACCTAGAAGCAAACGGCCAGGCTGAACAGATGAACCGCGCTGTTCAACACTTGTTGCGGTATTACATTAAGCCCAATCAGGTGGACTGGGACGAGAAGCTTGCTCTTGTCGCCAGTCTGTACAATAACGCTGTACACAGCGCTACCGGGGTAAGTCCTAACAGTCTACATCTTACCTTTAGGCCTAGACTGCCTTTAGACTTCCTACTCCCTGATAACCAGCCAACTGTTGCACCAGGCACTTTGGAGTTCGCTTATTGTTACGAATAGAAAATGCAGGAGGCTGTAGAGCATATGCAGAAGGCGCAGACAACAATGATAGAATCTGAGAATAAACACCACCGCCCTTCTACATTTCAGGTTGGGGATAGAGTCTGGGTCAAGTCTCCAGAACTGGGACAGGAGTTCGGGATATCCCACAAACTCATGCCTCAGTACTTTGGACCTTGGGAAGTTTTAGACGTAGTAGGGACAGATCCTGATGGTCCATCTTATGTCATCCGTATCCCTGGTCATCTCAGAACTTACCCTGTCTTTCACGCCTCTAAGCTCGCTGTGTTCGAGGAAACTGATCAGTTTCCCTCTCGTCGATCAATGCTGCCCCCAACCATGGACGAAGAAGTCGACATCGATGATATCGTTGACCACAGGGAGATGCCTGTTCAGAAGCCTCCGGGAAGAAGACGTCCTCCAAAGCCAAAGCTGCAGTTTCGTGTCCACTTCAAACATCACACAGATCCAAAGGAGGACCGATGGTTTACTCGGGAGGAATTGATGCACACCGCTCCTCAAATCGTTGCCCGCTATGAGAAGGATGTATTGAAAGGAAAGCGCCAGATGGCTCAGGATTGATCTTCTCAGAGGACTAACGAAGATGTGGAGGAGGGAATCCGAGGCTACACCCGCTTAGCCCCCACGGGGCCCTATATGCAACAAGGTCGGCCGCCCTAAGTGAAGGCAGGCGCAACAGGCCCTCAGGGCCTCGTTTTTCAGGGTACCCCGCATTGGGGAAATTCAGACAGTTGCGCTGCGCTAGTTGGTTGAAGGCTCCCAGGCCCAGGCCACATTCTGCAAATGGATTCGAGTGGCAACCTGGGCTAGACGCGTGCTGTAGGCCGTGGGCAGGCCAAGGGCAGTTTGGCACATGCAACTACCGGGCCCTGGGCCTGCATTGTGAGGTCTGGGCCTCTGCCTACCGGGGCCTACTGGAAGCTTCCTGGACTGGACGCAGGCAGGCCACTTCGATATAGGGAAGGGCCTGCCTCCTCATTCAGCATTCAGGTGCTGGCTGCATGCTGTGCGAGCCCTGCTGCGCTATCCGCTGGCTGGCTGGCATTCACACTCTCACGGGCGAGCAAGAAGTAGCGGGCAGCCATAGCCGAGCTGCTCCGCTGTGAGCTGGGTGTGACGCAGGGTGGTCTTTGGGTGCAAGTGGCATCTGTGCGGTGTGGATCGAGGTTGTGAGTGTTACGAGAGACATACCTGGTGCTGGAAGCGTGTGGCATTGTCGGCTATATGCTCGTACTTCAGGGAGCTGTTGTTGTCAACATCGGCATTGTAGTATTAGGCTAGATAGGATCTGCCACCAGTAGTCTTGGCGCCGAGCGCCAATAGGATATCAACTCGTGTTCTTCGTTGATGATGATGAGAGACTATTTCAGCATTGTCAATTACAAACTATTGGTGTGTTCTGATTTGGTGAATCTCGTGATGCATGGCTGCTGTTGGTTCGAGGTCAAGACTATCTGGACACATACGTATGATGCTGTTTGATTGCTGGAGTTCGCTAATGCTCATCTTTCTTGCACTGTGTAACATACTTTGTTAATTGTTTTTTCGGTGGTGGTTTTTTTTTTTTTTTTTTTTTTTTTTTTTTTTTTTTTTTTTTTTTGGCTGGGACCTTCCTTCGTCCATGCACGGGCTGGCCACCCGGGTGCCGGGCCGCCGGGCTGGTTCCCTAGAAACAAACAGTATTATATGTATATGTGTGCATATGAATCCCGCATCGTGCTGAGATTTCTAAGTCTGTGTGTGTGTGCGTGCCTGCTGGTTTGCGTGCCTGTCTGACGGCTTGTCGGCTGAGTGTGTGTGTGACCCGCATGGGTACTTGTTGGTTGACAGGGCCCGTAGGGCCAGTACTTACCTGTGGCCGTGACTTTGAGGGTTGCAGTGGGGAAAACACTAAAGTACGAGGGGGGTAGGCCCGCGACACTTAGAGCAGCGGGCGAAACACTGAAAGGACAACGTATATCTGGGTGACCCAAATCCCCGCTTGTGATGTGCTCCTACGTCTCTTAGTATTCGGTCTACTGGTTCAGTAATCGAAGTATGAAAAAAACGAACATTTTTTGCCTTCTTCTTTGGTAAATAAATTTGTTCGGTTTTGCGGTCTGATCATGTTGTGACACAACTCGTATGAAAAACAGAAATTATCACAGCGCAAAAGCGAACAAAACACAGAAAGAAAATGAATTCGTTACATATATCGTCAAATAGAACTGCCCGGTAAACCGTAGGCAGAGAGGGAGAAGAGGACAACAAACGAGGGGCTGTGACAAACTGTTTCGTCGGAGTTTCACCGACTATATATATCCCATATATATATATTTGTAAATGTAATATATATATATGTATATATCCATGTGGGCGGCCTTGTACGCAAGAGGTTCGAACAGGGGGAGTTGTAAGGAAGAAGATGAGAAATGAACTGATATCTTTTTTGTTTTCTTTTGTTTTTTTCGCTTTTGCGCTCTGATAATTATGTGACGATACAGCAAAAGTTGCTGCAAAACACAAGAGCGCAAAAGCGAAGCAAAGCAGAAAAAAAACAAGGACAAAATGAAGGGTTCTTTTTTTTTTTTTTTTTTTTCTTCTTCCTTACAACTCCCCCTGTTCAGAACCTCTTGCGTACAAGGCCGCCCAGGTGGATGTAGGTTGAGCGGCGGCTGCCACCACCCCCGTGTGTCATATCCACGCACTTCTGCACATCCGGCGAACGTGCAGAAGTGACGCCGGACCGCCCCCATCGCATGTCTCTCTCTCTCTCTCTCTCTCTCTCTCTCTCTCTCTCTCTCTCTCTCTCTCTCTCTCTCTCTCTC